GTTTTTGATTAATATTTTATTAATTGTTTGTTCGTTGTATCCGTTGTTTACTGCTATTTGTTTAATTATATTTAATTCTGTCTCAAAGTTGTCTTTTGACATCGGAATTTCTGTTATTCTATGTAACATACTATGATAAGCTGCCAGTTTATGTTGTGTTGGATGGGATGACGAATTGTGTATAGTTGTGTCAGTGTGGGTAGGTTTATGAAATATGGAGAAGTCATGTTTGTTTTGAAGTCTGCTAATTTTTAAATCTAAAAAATTTATGGATTGATTTTGTTCTGTTTCTATTGTAAATTGAATATGACTATGAACTGAATTAATATATGATAAAAATTGGTCGAGTTCTCCCCTCCTCAAACCTATTTTCATTAGAGACTATAAATTTGTAAACCCAAGCCAAAATAGATCACTTGAGAAAGGCAATCAGCCGAAACAGCTGTAGTGATAATATTTAAAATAAATTTTGTTGGAAGTTTGAAAACAAAGTTTTCAGTGTTTTATTGTTACATAAAATGAATTTCCATCAAGTAACGGTCGAATCCATCAATTATTATATACTTTTGTTGGATTGTCATATGTGATACTAGCTTTGCTTTAAAAGAATAAAATCACTATAATAAATCGGTTTTTAATAAGAAATATCACTTATTTATTTTTTGAACTAATAAATGCCAAGCAAAAAGGCAGCATGTACAAGTTACTGCTCTTTTCCTTAGCAATGTAAAATTAACAAAGCAGTAACTACACTTTTTTAACAAGATTTTATTAGCTAGTTAAGGCTACAGGTCTAAAAAATTACAAAAATATAAAATTCTCAAAAAATTATCTTTAACATGTAGGTAGTCTCTCCAGAATACTTATCTATTTTCTGGAATATATTTTGTAGCACTTGAAGTAATTGATTTTTCCTTTCCCTTGGGAATTTTTTAGGTGAGACTAGTTTGGTAGGTTCTGGTATCTCAGTCTTCAAAATCCTCGGTTGCAAGAAAGCAAGCTTCTTGAAGTCTTCTGATTTATCATACGTGCTTTTATTCTGTAAGGTGTGTTTACCCCTTTCAAACTTCATGTGAACAATATCTTTGAGATAAGTTCTGTCTGGCTTGGCTTTCATTTTCGATGCAGACTTCCAATTTTCCACACACAAAAGTTATCAACGCTCATTTTAAATACATCAACATGCCCTTTATTGGCAGCCTCTACAGCACCAGAAAATCATCGAAATCGTACGTTTTATTTCTGTTCTTTTAGCGACAGTTCCACCTGGTGATGAAAACTGTCAATAAGAAGAATAACTCAAACTCACTAGGACGGCAGTAACCTGAAACAGCTGGGAGGCAATGCCAAGCAAATCGGCGAGTAGCTACATCAAGCTAAGGATAAAAGCAGTAACTGCAGTCAGATACTGCTTTCTTGATTAGTACACTGTATTTGCTGCTCTTTTGCTTAGAAATAGGTAGTTCTACCTTGTACTTACTGCTTATGATATATGCTATATCTCAATAACCATTGTAGTACTGCTTTTCTATTTATTTCAATGGGTTTTAGCATAATTTAAAACATAGATCTACATAATATAACTCGAACGTGAAAATTTTGCAGAGACTGCCCTTTTCCTTAGCACGGCAGTATAGTTGTGTATGTTAGTCCAACCTGATTTATTTTCAATCATTTCTCTCACTGTAACAAAATTCACACCTGTCTCTTTCCATTCTGTTCCTTCTACTATCCATCTGTTGCAATCTAACATCGTATGTGTCACAGTGTCCGAGTGTCCACAGTATAGGCATTCATCTGTGTCAGCCTTTCCGAACCTAGAGAGGTAGGTCCTAAAACACCCGTGTTATGTGAGCACCAGTCCAGACTCATCTGCGCTCATCCTTCTGCAGTATGGGTCTGATTATAGAAATGATGATTTTTATTAGAGAAATGTGTTTGGGTAATTTGGAAAAAGACGCAGCACTTGTGCCGCTCACCCGGCGCACGGTGAGACAGCGCTCACCGGTCCACAGACGCTGGACCTTAGTTGGATTATACTTAGCTTTATCAGTCGTGCTCCCCAGGATATATCCCACAATAGAGGAACCAAGACTGATTACTAGACTCTTCCACCACGGCGAGGTCATTTCACAGCCCAAGAAGGTCATCAATTTCCTCGCTGCCATTGCTTCTTGGATTTCAACACAGTTCTATTTGGCAGTCCTCGTTTTATTTTTCTAACTATCTGTCAATCCCTGGAGATGTCCATACCACCACATAAGCATCACAATGTTGCAAATAGACTCTTCAGGACCATCTACTTTAAGTAGTTTTACTTTAACATACGGACTAGGGAAATACTCATAACAAGGCTGGTTTGATTCTGGACTGTTTTCACGATCTTGGCCAGTGTGGCACATAATAGTTTGTTTGCAAAGGGTCCATATAAGCCTGCTTATAAGCATATCGGTTTGCATTGGTATACCTGTAGGATATCCGGGAAAATCACTGAATCTAGTAAATCCTGTATGCAATGCAGTCAGTTCGATGTCATATGGAAAAGCGCCAGGATATGGAAGCATCATTTATCTACCTGGATATGCAAGACCTGGACAATCGCCTTGTTCTATATATCGTGGCTTAAATTGACAGGATGGACAGGACAGAATGACAGTCTGTATGTACATTGATCTGTTTTTGAAAACAACGCATCGTCTTTAAGTGATGAGTTTTTACCCATCGGAGGTTCATAGGCGTATGGATTGTCTTTACATTTCTTCAAACTACTTTTCTTCTTATTAGTTTTATCGGATTTTGGTGTATATTTACAGATAAGGCAACTTACCCAAGGCAATTTAGGTTGAGTAAAATATAAATGTTTTGTAAAAAAAATTGTAATGTAAGTGTAAAAAATGTAAAAATTAAAAAACATGGATTATGAACCAGCAAGCAGCAAAATACGAGCCCAAAGAGATAGATGGATTGGTTACATTATATGAATGTCAGGGAATCACAATGTTAAAGCAAAGTGGCAAGACTTGTAACAAATAGGCGTGAGAAATTGGAAAGAGAAAGCAAAGGACTGAAAACGTTTTTAGAAGCCAGATGCCTAAAAGGCCTGTTTGGAATAATAAGTATTTATATATTATAGTTATAAATAATATCTGTTAGTAATGTATTTTACAAAATATAATTTTTATTTGAAAATTAAGTCTATGTGTTATTTTTCCTGAATTATGCTTATTATTTTTACAATTACTTTTTCTCCAAAACAATACACATATATTTAACAGAAATTAATTGTTATAAACTTTGTATAATTATAAAAATTTAGAATTTCAAATCAAATAACGATCATACATTGTTTATATTTTGTTATAAGTAAAAAATGACGTTTAACCTTTTGCATATTTTGTTTATTATCATATTGTCATCACCAAATTTATGAAAAGCATTTTGTTATGCTTTTCATAAATGAAATTGATGCTTTGCATCAATGTTATCAAGAAACCTTGTTCTGGGTCTTCCGCTTATTCTCTAGCCAATGAGTCTATCAATGAGAGCTTTTCTAAATATTTCTTTTTTTGTGAGTGGTGCAAAGTATTCCAGTATTCCAATCATTGAGGAGGGATTTAGCTGCTGTAATGCAATTATGGTATTGTGGCCACCTTCTTTATATACTTCAACTGGCAGATTATCTATTCCAGGTGATTTGTTTCTGAGTAGTTTTTTACTGCATCTTTAACTTCAAGAATCTATGGTGGTTTCTCTTCCCACTCTCTTTCGTCTTCCAGGTTTTCTTCTTCTTCTTCTATATTAAGTGCCTGGTTAAAGTAGTCCACCCATATATTCAACACATCTTTCCTTGTTGTTAATAGGTCACCATTCTGACTTCTGCATTGTCTTGTGGTTGCCTTGAATTCTTTTCTGTTGATGCTAACTTTCCTATAGAATGCTCTAAATTCTTTCTCTCTGTTGAAGTTTTCTATATATTTAAGATCTTTATTTAAGTGGTTTCGTTTTTTTCTTTAGTGTATCCTCTTTTCTTCTCTTCTCTTTGTTTAGTAATTCTCTACAATTGTTATAGTTCGTCAGGTAAGCATCTTTCTGTAGGCTTGATTTTTTTCTTTTGTTGCATTCTTGCATTCATCACCACACTAATGATTTTTACAGGCACAAATTTATGTACCTATTTCATCATTCGCTGCAGCTTCAATGTCTCTCTTCATTCTTTTCTTTTGTTTCTCTCCCAATATTTATGAATTGGTTTATCCATTTTATGCACGGTGTTTCTTTATCATATCTTTTGGATTTGATTATTAAAATTTCTTATGCTCTTATACAATATACAGTAACCATCATTGTTGTCATAACGCATCAGGATTCTTGTATTCCCTTTTATCATCTTCTTTTTCCTTGTTTTCTTGAAGAATTTTCTAATATGACCATGATCAAACTCAAAACCGCTATCTAACATTATTTCCTGTAGATTTTATCTCAGGATAAAACTATAGAGTTTAATATAGAGTTTTCTGCAACTATAGAGTTTTTCTGCAATATCAGACTTATCTTTCATGAATAAACAAAATGATAGCCTAAATACATCCTTCGATGTCACAAAATCAACTTTAACTTAACAATACCCATCAGAAAAATCATAGAATGTAATTTGTCATCAAAAAGACAACCACATGCAATGAAGACAGTAAAATACTATGTAAAAGTGATCCCATAGTAACCGTGAGGAAAAAATCCTCATGATATTATCCCTTCATGGTAAGTATCTGGTATTACTAGGTGGTATTCTCAGTACTAACATCAAACTCTAATTTCATATGTATGTTATTTTAAAACAAATGATTATATCCTTAATATAACATATTGATGTATCTTAATACCTTAATCTTAATATCCTAATTATAAAATAGCTTAAGAACAATATTAATTTTATATTTAGTAATTACAACTTAGATTTAGTACATTTAAGAAGACAAATATATGAGATAGTTAATGCTTACCTGCAGCACCTCTATAGTAAGATCTTGTCACTGCTCTGAATCGTTCCTGTCCAGCAGTATCCCAAATTTGTAATTTAATTTTCTGTCCAGATACTTCAATAATACGAGTACCAAATTCCACACCAATTGTGTGAGGACAGTCTGCCATAACTGTAAAAATATATAAGGATATTAATTATTATATAAGCTTCTATAAAAATATACAAGTATATACTGACAGCTAATATTAAAATGTGGTGAGTAATGATATCGCACCCTCAGTGCAAAACTGCAGTAAGTCAGAATAAGTAAGTTTCAAGATAAAGACGATTTTGTTTATTTTCGTGCTAATATCAGTGAAATGAGACACAAGTTTTAAGAACAATTAACATTTAATTATGATTTTGCATGCTTTCGAGCCTTTACATTAACCAAAAATAGACATTTAAATAAAATAATATTAATGCTAAAAAAATTGGAAGTTCAAAGTTACAACACTTTTGCACTGAGAAAATTGTTAATCACTACACATTTAGTATTAAAATTTTAAAGTTAAAACACTTTCGCATGGAGAAAATTGTAAAAAGTGTAGACACATTTTCTGTTAACTGTTGTCCTCTTCCCTATATCATCTTGGGCCAAAATATTTTTATAAAATCTATCTAAAATCTATGGTGGGCTTCTGGTATCATACCCGAATGGCAATAAATCATCGGGTAAGTAAAGAAAAAATAATTCCCAACAGCAATCGGCGTTTACTATGGTATTAAACTTTACATTTAATAGATTCTAAAAAATCAGATAGCTAGAGATAGTGCAAGCACTCCTAACCACGGCGCAGTAGACGCAATTTGGTTTAGTCCCCACTTCCATGCGAAATGCATTGTACTATGCACCATATAATTCCACTTACAATAGAACCTTTCTACCTCTACGCGAATTTGACTCCGCCTTCGCGCAGCTCCATGATCAGGAGTGTTTGAACTATCAGGTACCTAATAAAACGGCTTATCGCTAGCGGCAATTTAATCTTTCTATCTCTGCACATGTTTCTGATAGCAACAATTCCTTGGCTTTGTAATGACAATGTTATAAAAGGGTAAACAATTATTTGTAAAACTTTCAATATTTTTATTTAAATTCAAAACAAAAGGGCTAATAAAATATTGCAAATCAGACTACCTTGAGTACAGTGATTAACAAAAGGATTGAAATTCACTACCTTAATAAAAGTTGGGAATTACGGGGGGACAATATGATAAGACAATCGCCTTAATTTATGTGTTTTTAATCCAATCTAATAAATAAATGGTCAAATGACATCACAAACATTTTACGGAAAATATAATGTCACACAAAGGACATAGAACTTACATGAATAGATTGGTCTCGTAAATATTTGTTGATTGTCTCGGCCATTAATGGATTACATAGACACATTGTATATTAAAATTAAACACCACAGATATAGATATTAAAATAACAAATATCCTAAATTTTTCATGCCTTTCATTGCTTGTTATCGAAACCATTGCAATGTTCCGTGCAAAACTGTTGTAACTCTGTTACATTAGAATTACAACAATTTTGCACAGAACTTATGTACACATAAAATAGTTAAACTGTTGTTGTAATATTTAGCCGGTTAAGCATTTGAAAGTTACTAAAGTTTTACAGGGGATAGATATGCATGTTTACAATCAAATTCCATGATTAGGTACTTCATTTTCTTAAAATTTTGAGTTACCGCAGTCTTGCACTGAGGGTGCGATATCTGGTAAGACTACTGTAGAATTTTCAGAGTTTTTGTTAAAAAATGATTTGAGAAAGAAAAAAGTTTTATTTTTTACACTTTTTTCCTTTGAAATTTTGAGCTTTAGAAGAAATAGTTTATAATAGTGTACAAGTTTCAATCGTAGTATATCAATATGTGTATAGCAAAGTAGACATGTATATTGAAGAAACTATCTCTAGCTAGAGTAATTCTAGCTTTAATTTCTTGACCTGGGTTAAGTTTGTAGTTAATCCAGTTGCCAATGTAAATATTAATACCCACCCCACATTATAGATTTGGTCCTAGATGTTGGAAGGTTAACAAAGTTTAAAAAAATAACTCCCGTAACATAATAACGAAAAGGAAAGGAGAAAGAAATCGTGAATACAATTAAACAAAGAAAGCTGGAATATCTAGGCCACATATTGAGACACAATAAGTACTGTCTACTGCAATTTATTGTCCAGGGAAAAATAGATAGTAAGTGAGAGCCAGGCAGGAGAAGACACTCGTGGCTCCAAAATCTGCGGAAGTGGTTCGGGCTCACATCGGCCAAACTATTCAGATGCACTGCAAACAAGAGCAGAATTGCCATGTTAATAGCCAATGTTCGCAACAGACAGGACACTTGAAGAAGAAGAAGCATAATAAGATGGGTACACCAATAGCAGTTAGGTAGTTTAGTAATAATGAGATTTTAACCTTTCTTGTATTCCATAGGAATATTAGCCCTTTATCTTAACTGTAACCCCTCGTTGATACTACTGAAATGTTATTAAATTCAAATATTTAATATTCACATTGAAAACCTGAATTTTCAGGCAACAACCCTTTTAGAATGAATATAAATACTTCTCTATGTATTATTATAATATATTTTTACAAATTCATGTTAATTGTTGTATTTTTAATGAGGTGAATTGAAAACATTTGAGCCTTTTAGGTTGCTCTGTAAAGTTGGTGTTAACAAAATTGTGTATAGCGGGAGATTTAGAACGATTCATAAAGCTATAAAGGCCTAAAAACATATTTTTGCACACTTTTGGTTGACTGGTCTGAAAGAATAAAGCAGCATATGCATCTATATTCTTTGGTAATATGATCAAATTGTAATAATGGGATAATAAAGAATGTCACAAAAAAATTAGGGAACCAAGGAAGAGTGTATCTATTGTTTTTATAATATGTAAGTTGGTTTATATTAAATTAAAAATTCACATGATATAAAATGTATTTTAAATTCATATAAAAATATGAGATTCAAGGAAGGATTTATTGAACAGCAATTGTATTTACTCTACAAATAATCTACAAAAATATAGATTTCTAAAAACACTTTAGAAATATTATGAAATGCTTATTAATTCCAAAATCTACTTTGTATTCTTAAGTAGTAACCATGAAAAACACTGTTGCCATTCTTCTCCCATGTTTTTTGTTTACACATATTCAGGAATTTGGTAATGATACTGTAGAATCGTGACTACTTACATTTTTTCTCGGTAAATTGATGCAAAAGACATGACTTCCCAACACCCATATCTCCTATGATAATGTATTTGAAAATATAAGAATAATTGTAAGGTCCAGCCGACATCTTGACTATTAGCTGAAAGAAAAGTGTATTAATATATCTGGAAAAACCGAAAATATTTATTAAATTACAGTTTTAGCAGCCAGTTATTTACCTTGAATGACTAATACCAAATATCTAATGTCTCTCTAGTTAAAAACAATGCAAATTTAAACTATACGAACAAAACGCGGAATTGCAAAATATAAAAAATATCTTACCTACCTCTTAAAGAATGTAACAAAGTTTAAATTAATATTAAACAACTCGTTGTTACTGAACAATTCTGAGAAAATCTAGGTAAAGTTGACACGATGTCAAAACTACAAATAGAGGGCGGCCATATTCACTATTTGACAGCTGATAAAATCTTAAAAACATAAATCCCTTCTTGTGATCTGTGGGAAATTAGCAACATCGCTATTTCCCGAGTAATCGGACAAAAGCATAGGCTTGCGTAGTATTATATTATGGTAATGAAATGAAACATTTTTTTTAATAATTTCTTTTTTGTTCTACATAATAATTTTTAAGTTGTTGATTTAATTTAGTTGTTGTTGTTAATTTAATTTTGTTGTTAATTTAATTTTTAAGATCTGTTTGTGAATGGTATAAGGTTGTTCTGCATATTTTCATGTTCTTTTAAAATATACTAAACAGTAAACACACTTTTCTACTTTAATGGAGCGCGCTTATGCATATTATATATTGCAAGTGAGGATGTCTTTGAATTCAATTTTGTTTAGTAATATAATTTCGTTTTTAAGTCAGAATAGAGCATAGAGAAATAACAAATAATTATTGTTATTTCTCTATGGAATAGAGCATTGGGAACATACCGTCGATGGTGACGTGTCATTGGTGGAGGTTGGCGTAAGGATTGCTCCTTTACAAACATTCCTATAGACGAAACTCTAAACATTCTGAAAACTAAATAAAGTATCTAGCAAGACCACTTATCTTTCATTAAACATTGTATGTCAACAGTTATTTGATCTTCCAAAATCAATTTTACAGGCAAATAAATGGTGCCTCAATGGGCACCATTCCAGCACTATCTCCAGTAATTGCCAATATCTTTATGGAACACTTCGAGACTCGAGCTCTATCCCCATCAATGCTCAAACCCACATGTTGGCTGCGATATGTTGACGATACATTCGTCATTTAGCCCCATGGCAGGGATACTTTGGAATTTTTTTAACCTTCTTTAACCATCTGAATGGTATATATCCTAGTATCCAGTTCACGATGGGGGTGGAAACTGTTTCATTCCTACCGTTTCTCGACGTAATACTCATCCATACCAATCGTTACTTGTATGCCAACTCTCATCATCCCCCTTCACAAATTAATTCAGTTATTATTACGCTTTGCGATGATGCAAGGAGATCCGCTGAACTCTCTAGTTTAAAACAAGCTCTCATCCAAAACGGTTACCGCGAATATCACATCCATAGTGTGATGGATGGATGGTCATCCACAGACATCAATCTCACACTCAATCTCAACCCAAAGACTCAGACCCTCATCATACGAAAGCTTTTCTTTCTTAAATCAAAGGTATCACTGACAAGATCGAAAAAATTCTAAAATTAAGAGGAATAAAGACAATATTTACCTCCCAACAAAAACATTCATCTCTTGTCCGATCAATCAAAGACAGACAAATGAACAACACGGAGTTTATGAAATTCTTTGTGCAGACTGCCTCCGATTCTATATAGGCCAAACAAATCGTAGAATCCAATATAGAATTTATAAATATTTCATTTCTGTTTGCAATTCCGACTCAATTTTAGCTCTAGGTCAACCCTATCTTCATACAGGTCACAAAATTGATTTTGAAAACTCCAGAACCGTAGCCCCTTCTATTCGTCCTCTATTCCCAGCAGCAGTAATGCTTTGATTAGTGATCAGTGTAGTTGTGTCTGGGGAGCCGGGAGACTGAGACCTGGGAACCACTGAAGAAGATATAGAAGAGGATGTTGAAAGCTCGGCGCAATGATAATCAACGCGGTTCAACCCGGAAAACTGGTGAGGTTAATTCCTGTAATAGTAATAATGTTAGCTCTAGGTTTAATTGTACTAACCGCGGAAACTTTTTGGAACGCTTCTTGCTGATGCTTGAAGTAGACATCAGCAAGAAGCTTTACTGGCCATTCCATCGATCTTCGGCTCCCTACCCACTGATTTTTAAATATTCGGTTGAGGTACTGCCAAACATTAATTTGGTAATGAGATGATGCTCTATATTGTTGCAAGTGGGTTTGCTCATCCAGTGAGGATTTTCCTTGGACCATAACGGCAATTCTGTCTATTAGCATGCCTGTGAACTGTAGCGGTACACTCATAAGAAAACAAAACATGTTCTAAATGGATCACATTATTATCTAACATTGCCATAATTTGTTCACAAAAATATGTTTTCCTATTACAGTAGTGTTACCCAAATGCAAGAACAAGACGAGACTTATACAGTATTGGTCTTGATCTTGCGCCAATATACCTGGTCTTGTTCTTGGTATTGTGCTCCCGGTCTTGGTCTTGGTCTTGCAGAAAGAGTCTTGCAAGACTCTCAGTTACCCATTAGTTTATTGCTATTTATTAAACGTTACTTTAGATCTTAGACCAACGTAAAAAAGTAGGTACATATTAAGCTTGCATTAACAAAGCCAGAATAAAGACCAACCAAATTAATATATGTCTGAACAACCGACACCGGGTGAAGTTTGAACCCACGATCTAAGCAATCCGTGCCTATGCCCTGACTAACTAAGTTATCTACCATATCACACGGGAGTGAATCTGTCTCTTAATAAACGTTTACATTTAATAAGCATACATGCGCTTAAACATGGTTAACACACAAAAAAACCAAATTAATGACATAAACTTGACTCTATTTTAAGATTAGATGAAAAATAATTATTACATCAGACTCGAAGGAAAGCTCAATTGGAAATGAAGTTTAGTGATGTCGAAAAACCAACTACTCGTTACTTTATATTCGTATACTTTATATTAGTATACCCTAAGTACTGAATACCAAACCGAGAATTATATATCGTTACTTCGTTACTTTAAATATTTCGGTAATTTGTTTACACGATAGCCGGCATTATCTGTTATTTACTTTAATTTGTCTCGTTATTTTTGAGCTGCGTCCTTTCAGCATATTTTGTTAAACCGAATGATGTCATCGCACACTCAGCAGAAACGATGTTTACTCTTGGGTCGATAAATTGTGTGGTATAAATTACTTCTAATTAAATTATTAATAAGGAAAAAAATGAATTATTAAGTGGGTGTTCTTAACAGTAGGTATGCTACCCGTATTATATTTTTTATCAGCTAAGGTAACATATTTTTTTAAAAGTTTCGATACGATATTACTGTAGTTTCAGACCGAAGAAGTCGTCTACTAGGAAAGAATATACAAAATATTTTATTTTTACATTGTAAATTATGACCTTTTTGCTTTATAGAAGAATGCTGAGAATATCATGGACAGCAAGGATCACGAACAAGGAAGTTCTAGGAAAAATGAAGAAGGAACCAGAGATTGTGTTTACGATCAAACGCATAAAATTGCAATATCTGGGACACGTTATGAGAAATCAGCACCGTTACTCTCTGCTGCAGTCTATATTGCAATGTAAAGTCAAAGGTAAGCGGGGACCCGGTAGAAGGAGAATATCATGGCTGCGGAATTTAAGAACATGGTTTAAGAAAACCTCAACGGAGCTGTTTTGAGCCACAGCGAGCAAGGTTATGATTGCCAATATGATTTCCAACATCCGAAACGGATAGGAACCAGAAGAACAAGAAGAAGAAGAAATTATGACCTCTGAGTACGTGTCAAATGTATCAAGTGTTCTTTTAATGACTATTTTGATTCGCTATGTATGTTTGTGGTATTGTTCGTAATGCGCATAAGTCCAATTTTCCAAATTTTTGTTACATTTCTTTTTTATCTCATAGAGTCTCTAAGCGTATACGCGAACTACTATACTCCCTAAAACGACACTCAATCCTAACTGCAAAACGCAAGAGTCTCGCAGGTTTAGTCTTGTTCTTGCTGAAATCTTGTACGGCCGGTCTTGGTCTTGGTCTTTCTAAAATTAGGCGGTCTTGGTCTTGCAAAAACGCAAGAACAAGACCAAGACCGATTTTGGGCAAAACTATATTAAAGTCATCTTCCATGAGTTCCTGTGTTGGTATCCTTTTACAATTATGCATTTTATTTTGTTTTAATGTTCGAATAGTCGACGAATGGCTAATATCAAACATTGGGGCTGTTTTTCGACTAGAAGTATGTGGATTTTCCTCATATACAAGCATAACATTCCATTGTTATCATCACTTATTGTACGTAACACGTAAAGGCAGATAAAGGCCTTGAATGTCCAAGCTTGCGAAGCTGCTTTTCTATTTGACCATTTGTTCCTTGGGATACAGGCGGTAAATTAGGAAATGTTTCATAAAATAAGCGAGCAACATCCATTTGTGTTCGTGCCTTGTCTCCATAACCAATCATCTATAGAATTGTTATTTAGTGCATTTCTGTTAAATGAACCATTGTTTTGATAGGCAATTAACGAAACTCAATTGACTGCCATGTTTAAACAACTGACAACAACTGTCGTCTTGACAGGAAACAATTTGCGAAGGTCGAGCGCTTTAGACTAAAATAAACAAAACTTTTATAAAAAAAAGTGGTACAGTAGCCGGTACTGTTTACTAACGCGTAGCTTCATACTTATTATGTTTACTGTATTTTTAAATTTTAAATAATATTTTTAAATTAAATAAGTTTATTTCATTATTTTTTATTGATTTTACCTTACGATTTGTTTTATAATCGTTTAAGATCGATTTTAGAAATTTAATTAATTTATTTTAACAATTTTCTCTGCATTCAAAAGTACATAAAATACTGTTAGTTAATATCCGGGTTATAGATTTTAATAAAATTTTATATGTTGTATAGCGGACTCCTCTACTCGCATAAGAGGGTTCTTCCAACTGACAGGCGTTTTCTTCTTCTTCTTCTTCACTGGCTTTACAACTAGGGGTGAGTCTTCTCCATCCTCTACGATCTTGCGCTTCTATTTCCCATTGTTTTACCCCAATTCTAGATAAATCGGCTTCAACATCATCCTTCCATCTTTTTCTCGGTCGGCCTACTTATATTCTACCATCTGGTCTTTCAAAAAACCCTGTCTTTAGCACTATGTCATCATCTGATCTTACCACGTGACTTGCCCATCTTATTCGGTTTGCCTTGATATGTCTAACTATGTTTTCAGTTCCATACAGAGTCACCAATTCAGCA